TGGCGCTTCGGTGGACTTCTCGTTGAGTCGGAGTTAGCTGCTGCGCGGGTGTTGGTGATGTATCGTCGGTGAAGATTGGTGCCGTTGAAGGACCAGCGATTGGTGTCGTTGTTGCCGCTGCTATTGTTGTTGTCTCTGCTGCTGCCGATGTTGTCTCTGCTGCTGCCGATGTTGTCTCTTCTGCTGCCGGTGTTGTCTCAGCTGCTGCCGATGTTGTCTCTGCTGCTGCCGGTGTTGTCTCTGCTGTTGCCGGTGTTGTTTCCGCTGCTGCCGAATGTTGTATTGTTGATAACGCTCTTGTTCTTTCTGCTTCAGGAATGGTGTGCGAGTACCAGAATCCTTCGGGGCTGAAGTTGGGGTCAAGATCTGGTGGATTTGTCCAGGATGTGAAGGTGACGATCCCGTCGCTGTCAGCTGTGCCAAGGTCTGGGACGAAGTCGAGGACGAAGACGTTGTTCTTCAGGACTGCCTTGCCGATGTAGAGACCTCCTCTTCCGTGGTACAACTTGAACTCCTGAGTGGTGCTATCTGCTTCAAGGTGGATGCCTTTCGCCATCAGCTGGCTGACGCTCAGTAAGTTGTAGCCGAGGCCTTCTGCTATGAAGACCTTCGACATCTGCAGTATGACATTTGTTTCTCGTGACTGAAGTTGAACCACTCCTTGTCGTCGTGTGCGCAGGTTTTGGTTGTTGGCGACGATGATGACTACTTCGCGTTGGAGTTGGTACTCTCGCTGCACGAAGCGTCCTGAAGAGCACATATGCTGTCCGCAGCAACTATCCAAGAACCAAGTATCCTTTCCAGATGGTTCGCTTTGGGCGATAGCTGCATACGTCGGGTTCGGTTGAAGTGACTCGCCGCGGGGCGTACTATTGTCGAGTTGCTCTTCCGGTGAGTAGTGCGACGGTGACTCGGTGATGCAGGAGTCGGTCAGTTTTGCCATGCAGCTGACGATGTTTCTTGCTCCTTGTGCAGATTGTGTTTTTGAAGGCTGTGACTGACTCGTGGGGTTCGCCTGCGTCGATGCCACTTGGCTGCTTGAGGGTCGAAGCTGCTGTTGCGGTGGGGTTGACTGTTGTCGATTCGGGCAGTGTGTGCGCGGATGTCCTGACGTCTTGCAGAGATGGCAGAACGGAGGTACGGGCTTTGGTTGTTGTCGGTTGTTGTTGTTGTTGTTGTTGTTGTTGTAGCGTCGCTGAGTGTGAAAAGCGAATTCCGGTGCTGACGTCTTCCTTTTGTGCCTTTCTTCTTGCAGGTCCATGTCTTGTTGCTCGGCATGAATTTCAGAGCAAAGTGCTGCTTCGGAGATTCTTCCGTGAGCTGGGAGAATGGCTTTTGTGGCGCGCCATTGAGGACCGAGGCCGCCTATGATGACTGTCACGAAGGCGTCTTCAGATATCAACCCTCCGCATCGAAGGAGTTTGTCGCGCAATTCGCGACAGCGACTGATATACGCCATCCTCTTTTCCCCTGGTTTCATTTCGACTGTTGTCAGTTGCGCCATTAGTCGACTCTGATTTACGCTGTCTGTTGCTTGATACAGGCTTTTCAAGTGGCTGTACGCGAGCTCGACGGAGTTGCCGTATCCTCGGTAAGACCGTATATTCTGTTGCTGAGTCGGGGTGATATTCCTCAGTAGGATTGTGTACGCCATCATTGACTGATAGGTGTACTGCTGCTTCTCGTACTGTGTGCCGTTTGTTGGGTCTGGCAGGGATCCGTCGAAGAAGCCGAGGATTTGCGCGCCTTCCATCATCAGCTCGAACTCGAATGACCAGGTAAAGAAGTCCTTTCCGTCGAAAGGTCTTGACGTCTGCAGCTTCAGGACGTGTGCGAACTGCGACTGAACTTGTAGCGCGTCCAGTGTCTTCTCTTGTCCAGGTGCAGGCTGCGGTTGTGGCATAAAGCTGACGGAGCCGCGCTGGGGCTCGTACGGAGCAAAGGTAGGTTGCTGCTGTTGATTTCCACGTGCGTTGGATGAACCATCGAGGCTCATTGGAGTCACGTCGTTGTTGTTGTTGCTGTTGTGTGACTGCGCAGGTACCGATTGCTGGTGTTGCTCGTAGAAGGACATGAAGGAGAAAAACTTCTCCATCATGCTCTGGTCGAAGCCTGCAGGTTGATTCGCGGGAGTCTCGGTGGATGTTGCCCTGGGTCTTGTTGCCGTACCCTCTTCTGTCTGTAGGCCAGAGGCAGGAGGTGGAGTAGGAGTAGTGCCGGGAGAACCAATAGAGGAACTCCTTTCCTTCTGAGTAGCCATGTCTTCTGATGTTGTAGGTGTCTTGATAGTTGAATTCCCCCTGATAGCTCTCATACCATGTTGGGCTGAAAAATAGCCCTTAGGATCTTTGCAGGGGTGAACTCTGGGTAGAACTGATGTAGTAGCGGAAGCGTTTAATGAAGAGTTTGTGAACCACCTTGCGCTAGTATGTGAGGGCAAAGTTGAGTGATTAAAGCAAAGAGATACAATATTATATAAGAGTACAAGGAATACGAAGAGATACGGTTGCAACTACTTTACTGTTGCTGTTGCGGTTCGATACAGTGACGACTCGGGCAACTGCTCTGTAACGAGTCAGTTGTGTGTCCTTGCTGTCTCGCTGTACTTGTCAGGTCAAAGGTCGCGGTCCTTTGACTTTCGCGTAACCTCCAGCAACTGCTCAACCTCCGAGGGTTGACTCGCCAGTGCTTCGATATGCTTTGCTTCGCTTCTGACTTGGTGTTTCGACACGACAGAGGCGCTTAGAGTTAATTGTTTCCAACAACTCCCACGCAGGCTTGGGTCATCCGTTAACATGCCAGCTTGTTCGGACTTGCGCAATTGCAATGCTTGTGTAGCTTCATGTCAAAGTTGTCGAGTGGATGATCACAAGATGCCTGGGAGTGGGAGGTGCTGGCATGGTGCTTATCTTTAGCAAGTCTTCCAAGACGTTACATGCACTCTGTGCAGATGTATGATGGTTCGGTGCCGGGTGAATGTATGGACCTCTCTAAACTGAAACTCGACACACCAAAGACAAGTTCTTGGTCCGATGCCAGATGGTCAAATGCCACAGGGATCCGTGGGTAACAATAACAGGAACATGTTGTCACTCCTGGGCAACATAACCAGCTGGCTGCTGTTTAGAAGTAGAACGACTTGTCACTCTCAAAATTCAAATCAATGGGCAAGGAAGGAGAAGATCATGCCGCCACCCTTGGAGAGCAGCAGCAGCAGACTTCCATTCAGCAGCATCCACGAGATGAAAATCGCAAACCGCAACATTGTTGAGCCTCTCTGTTGCGGAGGGCGAAGATGGTGAAGGCTGAGACGGGGCAGAGCCCACTGCCAGAAAATCCCCAAGGTCTTAATGAAGGCGGCGGTGATGAGAGTGGTGATCTTGGCCTTGCACCTGCCGTACCGCCTGCAGAGCAGGGGGTGGTAATGGAAGTCGAGGGTGGTCAGGGAAGGAAGGGAAGGCAGGGCAGGCAGGGAGGATGAAGGCTAGAACTGGCAGAGCTCAGTGCCTGGTGGAAAGGCGCCCGATTGGAATGAGCCAGTCCACTGTTGAGAGGCCACAGCTCACTGCTCTAACGCTGGTGATGTTGGCTCTGCGCCTGCAAAATAGGGACTGTTGGGATTGAAGGGAAAATGGAAAGGTCGGTGTGTGACGACAGTGCGGATAGGGGAGATCGAGAGCAGCTCCTCACTTTTGTAGACGGCAAACCACCAACCCGTACCACCGGCCTGCACCATGCGCCCCACCAATCATGGGATGGGGTGATGGGGTGATGGGATGATGAGGCGAAGAGGTGGTTGGGTGAAGAGGTGATGGTCTGATTGGTTGATGGGGTAATGGGGATGGTGCTGTGGGGATGGGGTGAACGTGTGATGAAGCAATGAGATCATGAGACTGACTCCTCCAAATTGATGGGTGGACACGAGAGATGATGAGTTGCCAATGGCAGTCGCAGCAAGCCAGGTGACAAATTAGAGAAGAGACCCGATTCGAGCTCCGAGAGAAAGAGGTCTCCTTGGCGAGCTGGGTGCGACGGGCACACACCGACCAGCAACAGAGACGAGCAGCTGCAGGTAACCTGTAGACTCTGTTGGGCGCATGGCATATTGGAGACCCCAACGGAACTCAGCTCTCCAAGGTTCCTTACCGTACATCATCAACACGTACAGGCAGCCTCCCCACTTGCTCCTGCGCCAGAACCCTGCACACACCCTTCTCAGCTCCAGAAGTGTCCGCCAAAGTGACCCACTGGGTCTCGGCCAGAGGGGCTGCCAACATCATCAGCCTCCCGCCTCTAGGCGATGGAGGCGTTAAAGTGCTTGGCAGCCCAATAGGAACCCAAGACTTCTGGCAGGCTTTTGTACTACAGCAGCAAGACCTTCCTGCACTCTCCAACCTTCACTCTTAAATCAGCATCCTCTTGAACGGGGAGAGGGGTGGGGAAGTGAGGGTGGGGGAATGGGGTGAGCAAAATGCGTGGGGGAAAGGGGTGGGTGGGGAGAGGGGGGTGAGGAAAATGCATGGGGGAAAAGGGTGGGGGAGAGGCGTGAGGAAAATGCGCGGGGGAAAGGGGTGGGGGAGAGGGGTAGGAGAGAGGGAGGGGGGAGTAGGTGTGGTGGAGTGGTGTGAACGTGAGGAGTGGGGAAGAGGCGTTGGAGAGAGGCGTGCAGGGGGGGGGGGGGGGGGGGGGGGGGGTGAGGGGGGGAGGGTTAGGGGAAGAATGGGGTGACAAAGAGCAGAGGAGAGAACCCCTACATCCTGCTTCATAGACCTCACGTTCCTGAACCCTTGCCATCTTCTTCCCCCCATCGCCTCTTAACCCTTCCATATCCCCCGTATTCCCTCCCCCCCCTCTCTGCCCCTCTCGCCCACCCGCAGGCCGGCCACTCGCGCATGTGCCAGCACCCTTTATCCCTCCGTCTTTTCTAATCCCCTTTTCCCCTCCTCGCGCCCCCCCCAATTGCTTACCGGCACCATCCCATAACAATCACCCCTTATCCCATGGCTCACCCACCGGTGTATCCACTCGTGCATGTCCTGCGCCAGCTTACGCAGCACCATGATGCGGTTTGCTGGTACACGTCCTCACACACCTGGCGGAGGGAGAAAGGGGAAAGAGGTGGGAGGAGGGGTCAACTTGAAACCAGCTTGCGCAGCACCATGCGATCTGCTACTGCTGGTATATGGACCTCACACACTTGGCGGGGGTGAAAGGGGGGAGAAGAGGGGGGGATTGGGGGGGAGGAGGGGACGACTCGACACCAGCTTGCGCAGCATCATGCAGTCTGCTGGCACACAGCCCTCACACACACACACACACACACACACACACACACACACACACACACACACACACACACACACACACACACACACACCTGCAGCGGGGGGGGGGGTGGAGACGGGAACATGGAGGGGCAGGGTCACGGAGGTTGGCAGGCACAAAGGGGAGAGAAAAGGCCTGGTTGCTTTGAGACATCCCAAACCAAGCTTGCGCAGCACCATGCCGTCTGCTACTGCTGGCACAAGTCCTCACACATCTTCCCCGGTGCACCTTCAGGAAGGCGGAAAGAGTGGAAATGGCGCGGAGGGGAACAGGCGGGGAAACTAAGGTTGGGGGATGTCGCACAGTGTGTGCACACTTGAGCGATTAATGTAGCACGGGTGGCGGAGAGTGGAGAAGTGAGAGGGGTTGGGTTGGGACTCGAGCGGAAGACGACTTCTAGCAACCCCCATCGCCACTCATTTCTCCTCGCTGCAAAACCCTCTCACTTTCATCACCAACCAAACCGAACAATCCCACGCCCCCTCCCCCCCCCCCCCCTCCCCTTTCTTCCCCCCCCCTTCTCCCCTATCCCCCAGCGCACCTCGAGGAATGCGTCTGCAATCTCGTCGCGAACGCACCCGCTTTCTTTGTCCATGCTATCCACCCCTCTTCCCCCCCCCCCCCCCCTTGTTCCCCCCCTCTCCCCTCTCCCAGCCCACTCCCAGCCATCTCCCAGGCCTCTCCCCTCCCCCACGCCCACCTCTCCCCGCCCCCACATCTCCCCTCCCCCACGCCCACCTCTCCCCGCCCCCACATCTCCCCTCCCCCACGCCCACCTCTCCCCGCCCCCACATCTCCCCTCCCCCACGCCCACCTCTCCCCGCCCCCACATCTCCCCTCCCCCACGCCCACCTCTCCCCGCCCCCACATCTCCCCTCCCCCACGCCCACCTCTCCCTGCCCCCACATCTCCCCTCCCCCACGCCCACCTCTCCCCGCCCCCACATCTCCCCTCCCCCACGCCCACCTCTCCCCGCCCCTCTCCCGCACCTAGAGGAAGCTGTCAGCGATCTCGTCACGTGACAACCCGAATTCGTTCTCCATGCCCCTACCCTCCCCCCACCCTCCCTCAGCCATCTCCCAGCCCTTTCCCAACAATCCCCCAGCCCTATCCCCACCCCCACACCTCCCCTCCCCCGCGCCCACCTCTCCCCAACCCTCTTACCCACCTCGAGGAAGGCATCGGCCATCTCGTCGCGGGAGCACCCGCTTACTTGACGAGCAGGGGAGAGGAGCAGGTTGGGAGAAGTCAATTCTCCCACCAGCGCTGAAGGCGACGATGAGGAACGCAATGCTGATCGCCATTTCGCAGAAGGCTATGGCCGTCTGGTCTGGTCGGTAGCAAAGACGACAACATGGTTGTCTGATTGTCATGGCTGCGAGCATTCACTGCATGCGCGTGCCGTGCATGGTTGGCTCTCCAGCAGGTTGTCGTAGCAGAATTCTGTGAGAGGATGGCAGGTCGCATGAGGGAGGTGGGGAGGGAGGGAGTGGGGAGAAATGAGGGGGGTAGGCAGAATGAGGGAACGGGAAATATTATATCGCGCACAAACAAGCACAGAATGAGGATAAGGAGAAAAATCTGGGGAGGAACGGGGGCGAATGCATTGGGGAGAGGAGCAGGGAGGGGGAAGACAACCCTCCAACCAGCATCGAAGGAGGTGATTATGGCACCAGAATTCTCAAAAGCGGCAAGTTGACGGTTCTCTTGATCGTCTTTTGACGCCATTCGATTCGCTGCGACACACGCGACGAATTTCTCGCAATAAACGCGGCGCTACGAATTTTTCTCGGCGCTTCGATTTTTTCTCGGCGCACACAGAGCAGTTACGGAAGGGAAGAAGAAGCAGTTATGGCCATTAGAGGACCATAAGGTCAACTCTATGTCAACTATACCTTATCGCTTAATCATTCGACAGTTCTAGATTGTAAGTAGGTTGCGGACTGGGCGGCTAGCTCGCCATGTTGCTGGGGCGCTGGTTGCTAGTGCCATAATCCGCCTTTTCAAACATGCTAGTAGGTTTTCGTATGCTGGAAGCATTTTTCATCTTCTGCTGTAGAGGTCATTAGGGTTTTGCTAAGTGGGTTCCGTTATTGCGCGAGCGAATGAAAAGGTCGGTGTTCGTCAAACACGGTCAGTAGCTGTCCTGATTCGTCTGACCCGCACACCTGGCGAGATTTCTGGGAGCTCGACACGCCCTGCTGGCATGCCACGCCACCATCGAAACTCGTGTCACCTTGGAATTCGCGAGAGCAGGGTGGGCTGACAATACATTCGCACTCGTCGAGATCCACATTTCACGGCTGAATGGGAGGTCGCACAAACTCGCAGGCGATGTTGGCCTGTCGCAGCGATGTTGCCACGAAGAATATTGCAACGCAGATCTTGGCACGAAAGGGACTTCACTGTGGAAGGTGACCTTCCACCCTCAACTACCTCATGCCACTTTCTTCCTCGATTTTCATTTCCTAGTAGATTCAGCTTTCCTCCTCAAATTCCTACTTGACGTCGTCTCCACTCCCGCTATGATTGTAGCTCAGAATCTATACTACTAGTTGCGCACAGTTGACAAAGCTTTACTACTCGCCGCACCACGATGGCAATGGACGACAAGGGACTCATCATTCGGCTCAGCTTACTCATATTTCTGACGTGTCTCGCCGTGGTTTCTCCAGTCCGCTGTGTCCCGTTCAATGCCTCTCAAGCTTCGTCCTTGAACAACGCACTTCATCCCAGAATCTGGAGGCCCGTATATCTATATATGTTTGAAAGTAGTACGAGGCCTGAACATATTTGGGATGTTTGACGTTACAGCTGAGGTTCGGACCCCCACCCTCACCTCCGAATCTTCATGTCATTTTGTTACCTTGATAAATTTCATGTCTTATGGAGTCTTCCACACCACGACTCATGGTGCACCGGATGCACCATGACCCGGGACGCGTTCGTCTCGGCTGGCGCCTTGTCACTGTGATCGACGCAGTTTCCGGAGACTGCTGTGTCTTCCGCTGTACCAAAGTTCGGCTTTGGTAAAGCTCATGCACAATGTACGGTTCAGCAGTGGTACCAGTCATGGCGGCAGATTATCAAAGTCGTGTGGCGCTCACACGTATCATCCATGATTCCCTCCCAACGCATCATCCTTAGCAGCTTGACCGGCCGACTTCAAGCTTGAAATTGCAGCAGTATGCAGGTCAATTCGCAGTATAGCGATCTACCCTATCTTATTTCACCCACATGTGGAGCGTAGTTCAAAAGTGCTTACCCGGTGCAGGGTTTGAGAGATGGGGACTCATCTCTTTCTTCCCTCTTACCCCCTCAGAAGCAGGGTGTTCCCTCTCCGCTTATTTTTTTTCTCCTACTCCATTGCAGCCCCTCTCCTCCCTGCTTGTGCAGCCATTGCAACTCCTGCTGGCTGCACTTCCGGCAGGCATGGGGAGGGATACAATTTGTGGGTGGCTTGCTTCCATGGGTGGATGCAACAATGGCAAGAGCTGCAGCTCGAGTGCCTAGAGTTTTCACCATCATGAGTGAAAGTCTTCATACTTAACTCACTTGCTCAAGTGCCTAATGGAGCTCAGGAATGCTCATCCCCAACGACACTTACCCTTATTTGACCCCCTCTCCCGGTTATGCCTCTCTTCAGTTGCACTATCATCATCAGTGGATGAATCAGACCACGTCAAGCCCATACATCATGCTAAATCACTGTAGCAGATTCAATTTCAGAACAACGGATTCTGGGTACTTCACCATGGCATGTGTCCATTCCGCAGTCGTGCGGAACAGGCTGATGATTGGGCGAGGAATAGAAGGGTGCGACACACAGGTGATGAGAGCCGAGTTTTCCTTCCTCCGTTCCCTGCCCCACCCCTCCTTCTGTCCTTCTCTTCTCCTCCTACTCCTTCTCTTCCACCATCTGCTGCTAGTGCAAGCCCTGCTGGAATTGCAGCAAGCGTGGGCGCAGACACTCTCTGGGTTGGTGGCTTGGGGGAACTGCAGCTCGGCCTCCAGTGTATCCTGCGATGACCAAGGCATGGTGACTGAAATGTGAGAGCACCAACTCCAACTGGTTTTGCACCCCCCATTTTGGACCAACTCTTGCTGGCCTTGACTTGGGTTCCTCTGTTTCCTCTCTCCACCATTCTGCGTGCTTTGTATTTGCAATCCCTTGTAGCATTTTGGCGTGTTAACCCCTTCTGACCATGCATTCTCTGGATGCCTTTGTGTGATTCTTTGCTCTTCACTTGAAATCCCTTGCTGCTTGAACCATTCATCTCACAGTCCTCCTCTCATCCAAACCCACTATCTGCTCTGGTGAACCCTTTTAGTCGTCCCCACTGTATCAAAGGCTAAGTTAAGGTTAATGTACATGTATGAACAAAATTATGAAACATCTTCTCTTGGGAATCTGGGATGACATCCCATCCTATCTTCTAATATTGCTATGGTTCATATAATTGGAAAAACATGGTTTTGCAGAGGGAGAGAGAGAGAGAGCAGCACAGCACAGGCACAGTAGTTCTATCGTGCGCAAGTCAGAAAACGACTTGGCATGGCAACAGTTGTAAGTGCAGCAGGTTCGTGCACAAAAGGAAAACTGCTGGAGTTTGTCAAGGGCCGGGATACTTAGAGAAAATGGGTTAGTGGAAGGAGGGAGGCGGCAGTGGAGTACATGAAAGGTGGAAAGGATCACAGTGAGTGTGGGGGGGCTTGCTGCAGGGGTTGCTACGTGCTTGGAGTCCCAAGCAAGTCTGCGTGAGGGGACGAGATTCACACTGCCAGTACCATTTATTCAAAACAATTGCTTCCCTTTTAAATGTCACCGTATAACCAAACCGCCCATTTGGAGAATTTGAAATGGAAGTTAGACATTTGTAAGCGATACTAGGTGTTAATGCTGTCTAATCTACTTAATAAGCCCCTCTCCCTTATCCGTTTCCCTCTATTTCACTAGCATGGCTCATATTGAAAGAAGCTCAGTGCATCAAATTGCTACCCTAATGCACCTCTCTGGTTGCTATCATCACATAACTCCAAAATCACCATAATTAACCACTCTCTCTGTTTCTTTCATTCTTGATCCCATGTCCTTATGAGATTTATAATGTTCCCCACCTATTCTATTCCACCGCCCACCAGTAATGTGCATGGCAAAGGCTTAATCGGGTCCATTCCAGATTCCATCGGTTCCTTGAGCAGGCTGACCTATCTGTGAGTATGAGTGGGAGCATGTACACGGGTGTGCAAGTGCATAGATGAGCATGAGCAAGGCACGAGCAATGGTCAACATGTGACCAACTCATGATGAGCTAGACGTGTCCATCACCTTGCGATGGCCAGCCAGTGGCCGTCTTGTCATGAGTGAAAGATGGCTCCGCTAGGCTCATGGTGAACCTGCCAGGTGTCACAACTTAGGCTTAGAAGCGATACATTAGTAATGAGCTTGAAGCTCCTTAAGTATATCCAAGAAGGGGAAGGAATGGTTGGGGAAGGGAATTAGAGGCAATCCTTAGGGATTGGGGGTAATCCCAAGGCAATCTCCAATTGGTGGGTTGGAGATTGCTTGGAGATTACATTTGGGTTAGGTTGGGATGTAGGTGTACACCCAACCAAACACAATGTGCAAACTACACTACTCTAGGATATAGAAAATACGAAGTACAAAGTGTGAGATTGAAGGCTAACACTAACACCCCCCCATAGGCATCAATCGAACTCAGGGCAGAGAGGGTGGAGCACAGAGCCCCATGGCGCCAAGGAGACGGTGGTGAGGAACTTTCCCAAGGGGCTTGGTGAACAGATCAGCCAGGTTGCAGTCAGATGTAACGTACTCCACTTTCAACTGCTCCTGCTGGACAAGGTCACGGATGAAGAAGTGCCGGAGTTCAATATGCTTGGTGCGGGTGTGATACACAGGGTCTTGAGAGATGTAGATGGTACTCTGGTTGTCACACCAGAGGGTGGGGGCGGACTGTGGGAAACCAAGCTCCTGGAGGAGGAAGGTGAGCCAACGGGCCTCCTGAGCAGCCATGGTGCCTGCGTAGAGCTCTGCCTCACATGAGGAGAGGGAGACTGCAGACGACCTGGTGGAGCGCCAACTGACAATTCCGCTCCTAAGGGTGAAGCAGTACCCTTGAGAGGAGCGTCGGTCGGTCTGGTCATCAGCCCAGGAGGAGTCGGTGTAACCTTCCAGGCGAGGAGGGGAGAGCCCACCGAGTGTGAGAACGTGAGACTCGGTGCCCTGAAGATAGCGCAGCACCCGCTTCGCCGCCTTCCAGTGAAGATCAGTGAAGCATCCACGGGCCACGTAGCGAGAGAGGACACTGACAGGATAGGTCAAGTCCGGCCGGGTGCACATCATGGCGTACATGAGGGACCCAACAAGCTCCGGGTATGGCTCAGAGTAGGCCTCTGGTGTGGGTACAGCTGGAGCTGTGAGGAGGTGTTGCAGCGGCAGCGGGGTGGCAACAGGTGTGCACAGCTCCATCTCAAACCGCTTGAGCACATTGTCGATGTAGAACTCCTGGGAAAGGGAGATGGTGCGAGCATGGCGATCACGAGTGATCTCCATCCCCAGGTAGTGCTTGAGGTCACCGAGGTCTTTCATCTGGAGGGTGCTCAGGGCTGCCAGGACAGAGGTCATCTGGGCTGAGTCCTTGGCAACGAGAATGAAGTCATCCACGTAGACCAGGATGTAGAATGGCTCAGAATGACGGCGGATGAAGAGAGTCAGGTCAGCAGATGAAGGGTGGAAGTCCAGGGAGAGGAGGACTTCTTTCACCTTGTTGTGCCATTCGCGAGGGGCTTGCTTAAGGCTGTAGATGGGGCGATTCAGCTTCCAGACAGTGTTGGGAGGGAATTCTCCTGAGAAGCCTTCAGGTCTGTCCATGAACACTGTCTCCTTGAGACGTCCTTGTAGGAAGGCGGATGAGGCATCCATGGATTTGATCTCAAAGTCTTCTCGAGCTGCGACATCCATGAGCGTACGAATGGTGGGAGGTTTGGATGTGGGGGAGAAGGTTAGGAAGAAGTCGCGGTACTGCTGCTGGGTGAAACCCTTGGCTACGTAACGCGCTTTGAACACCGGGGCCTCGTCTGGGAGCTGTTTCACACGGAACAACCACTTGCCCCCGACGATGTTGACTCCTGGAGGTGGAGTCTCGTCGTCGAAGGAGTGGTTGCGGGTGAATGCTGCAATCTCTGCTTCCATGGCAGCACGCCATTCGGCAGCATGAAGGCCTGAGAGAGCCTCTTGGACGGTGAGAGGGATAGGGATGGTCGGGTTTTCCGTGAAGTTGAGTGAGGGTGATTCGGTGATGTCAGGGAAGATGTGCGAGAGCTGGGGAATGACTGCGTGAAGATCATAAAGCTCCTCATGCCTATCTTCTAGAAGGGTAGAGGGCACATCCCCCTGGGCAGGAGGAGGCGAAGTGATCGTGGAGCAGCGAATAGCCAGGGCCAGAGGGGGAGCAGGGCCGTGCGAGCGAGTGCCATGGGCTACCGGAGAGGAGGGCGGGGCAGGCGGTGTCTGAGGGATTGATTTAGGAGGCTTGGGCGGGGGAAGTGGCCGCCGCTTGTACGTGATCAGTTCGGGCGGCTGTGGAGGAGCGGGTGCCTGGGAGGAAGGGGGGACTGGGGGAGGGGGTGGGGCCGGAGGGTGCGACCGCCGATGGTATGTGATTGGTGCGCTCGGAGGTGGCGGCGCAGATGGCAGGGCGGCAGGTGAGGGGGAGGGAGGAGCAGCTGCCGAAGACACCGGCGAGGGCGGGTCAGAGACCTCAGAGGGGGGCGGTGCGGTGGCAGGAGAGGTAGGAGGTGAAGGGGCCGGAGCAGGCGGGAGGTCAGGAGGCGCATCAAAGTATGCCCACACGAGGGAGGGTGGATCAGAGAGAGGGTCCCGTCCCGAAGTGGAGTAGAATGGGCGGGTCTCATCAAAGACAACATCGCGGCTCCGGACCAACTGTTGAGTGGAGGGGTTGAGGAAGAGGAAGTCAGGCGAGTCGGCATTGTGCCCGAGGTAGATGCACGTTTGAGTCTTGGGACCGAGCTTGCCGCCGTGCTGCCGTCGAGCCTGAGGGTTGAGGAGGACATAGGCGGTGCACCCCAAACGCGAAGAGAGCGAGCAGTGGGCGTTTTCCCGAGCCAGAGCGTGGTTGGAGTGGTGTCGGGAAGATGCGGGTGGGGGTAAAGGTTGTAGAGGAGGGCGGCGTGGTAGAGAGCGTACCCCCAGAGAGAGTGCGGAGCGTTGGAGTGGCCGAGGAGGCACCGAGTGATCTGCACCAGGGTGTGGTTGCGGCTCTCAGCTATGCCGTTCTGCTGCGGGCTGTCAGGGAGGGTGAAGTTTTGCTGGATGCCTTTTGATGAGCAGAAGGCTTTGAGCTTGTCGTTGCAAAACTCACCACCACCATCCGAGTGAAGGCGCTTGACTTTGCGGTCAAAGGTGGTCTGTGCCTGTTTGACCCACGCCATGAGGACCTCTGGAACCGCAGCCTTAGTGTGGAGGAGGTGAACAGAGACGTAGCGAGAGTGGTCATCGACGATAACAAGGAAGTAGCGATAACCACCTCGTGCGGGAACAGGGGCAGGGCCCCAGACGTCCAGGTGTACCAAGTCCAGTGGTGCTGCTGCGACAGAGGGTGAGGCCGGGTGGGGATGTTGACGCAGTTTGCTCTTGGTGCAGTCAAGGCACGTGGGAGCGGGGGAGTCTGGTGGTGGAGGAAGTGAGGCTGGCAGGCCGAGTAGAAGTTTCTTGGAGGCCATGTCAGCAAGTGTGCGGAAGTTTGGGTGCCCGAGCCGATGGTGGTAGAGTATGGTCGGGTTGGAGAAACTGCGGCACGAGCATGGTGAGGTAGTTGCCTCTGCTTGGGTGGTTGACACCTGTGGGATGGGTACTTGCAGCGTGTAAAGGCCGCTGCTGTTGAGGGTGAAACGAGTCAGGACCTTGTTGGTGAGTGGGTCGAGGATATCACCATAGTTCTCATTCTCCCAGAAGATGGTGCGTAGCACAGCTTTCTGAATTTCCGTTTGGGCCACGAGATTGTGGCGGAGTGAAGGCACGCACATTCCAGTGACAGTGTCGGAAGGGAAGGCGGGGCACGGGACTGTGGATGAACCCTTGGCAAGAGTGGTGAAGCTTGAGTCAGCTCCTAGGAGAGGGAAGGGTGTTGTGTAGGGTTTGAAGGAGAGTGTCTCCTTGAGCACAGTGTGAGTGGCGCCGCTGTCGAGTGTGAACTCTATGTATTGTGGTGCTTGTGACAAGCTGAGGTACTGGGAGGAAGCTTCATTAATCATGGCAGTGCCAGGGAACAACAGGTTGATACGCACATCAGCAGGAGCACTATCACTAGCACTAGCTGGAGCGGGGTCCTGGGTCTCAACCAGGTTGGCCTTACGCGCATGCATCCAGTTCGGTGGCCTCTTGTCTATGCCGTAGATGGCGTACCACTCGTCGTCCTTCTTCTTGAAGCACGTAGCAAGTGGGTGGTTAGTGCCACCACACACTTGTCCCTTGCGGTTGCCATACTTGACGACGTAGGTGCACGGAGGGAAGCGGTTGCGCTGGAAGGGCGCCGAGGCAAGAGCCGCTGCGACACTTGCTTGAGGCTTGGGAGCACGGATGGCGTAGGCCTTGGCTTGAGCCGTGGAGTCTTTCTTGGCAGAGAGGAGTGCGGTGGAAACCTTTGCAAAGGTGAGGTCTTCCTCAGACAGCGTGAGGAACATCTTCCTTGTGATTTCGTAAGCTGAGGTGAGGCCAACAAGAAGTGCGGCTGCAGGGGCTTGTTCAGGGAAGATGATGCCCAGCTCCTTGAGTTCGCCATGGACGGTCTGGACCTTGGCAATGTAGTCGGCCATTCCCGAGCAGTCCTCAAGGCGGACCTGGAACATGCTTGGGATGAGGATGGCAACTCCGACTGCGGTCTTGTTCATGAAACGATCCTGGAGATACTTCCAGATGGCGTTGGAGGTAGGGTAGTTGTGGAACGTGTTGACAAGTTCGGGAGGGGTGGATGCGATGAAGACACTGATAATAGCAGCATCGGCCTTCTCCCACTTCCGGTACTTCTCAACGGCTTCCTCATACGCCCTTGTGTCAGCTTCACTAGCGGATGCGGACGGCTCACGAGGGAGAAGGGGCTGTTTTCCCTTGCCACGGTTGAGGAGGACGTCCTTGAGGTCCAATCCCTGCACGTCACGGCTCAGTAGGTGCTTGT